TATGTGTCGAAATTAGTTTTTGCTATGCTGGAAGATTCTACAAGTAATAAATAATATAAAAAATATTTCATTGTTACAATAAAAAAGCTAAATCATATTTAAAAAGTATAATCTTGTATAAAGTACCAATAATAATATAATTTGTNTCTTCTTAATTTTTTTGGCCTCCCAGGAGGTCTTTTGTAAATGGGAGGTAGTAGTTGTGGAGAGTCAGATGTAGGCCAAAGTTGTTGTCCATTGATAGGACTTATAATTGGTGCATAACAAGTTCTATAGGCATCTTTCTTATAGTAAGGATGAACATAATGTTCTGGGTTTTCTGATTTGTAATGAATGGCAGCAACCGCATGTCTACATGGTATTCCTACCAAATCCCACAAGTAACAAGTACATGTGTGATTACTTAAATCAACAACAAATTTGTCCATGGTAAAGCCATGAGTTACTTCAAACTGTGAACCCCCTGCCCATACAGGAAGCCAATTCCCACTCTTTTCAACCTCCATATCCAATCTTTTCCTCGGTTTAGGCATAACATCACCAGGATATGAGTCAACTTTTTCTCTAAGGCTTGCAAACCTACTCATTATGTATGATCTAATCCATTCCATCATTGAAATTATAGGTTTGGCTCTTGCCAATAAAATAGTACTATTAAATGATTCTGACAAGTTATTGATCAACACATCACACCTAGGATAAGCACTAAAAGCATGCTTACACCAACTTTTAGTTGGTATACCCATTAACCAATTAAAGGCATCAACATTCAGATTTTTTAACTCACTCATTTTTTACTCCCATTCCTTATAGTATGTTGCCTTCGCAGCCCCCATCATGAGGTCTCTAATGAGCAGGCCTCCCCCAAATTTTTTCTTGTAATTGTTGTATAAATGGCGTAAACACAACCTGTGTTCTACTCCATTCAAAATATCATCAAAAACTGACATTAATCCCTGCAAGCATAATACACCAATAAGTATTACATATTCAAAATAAATTTCTAACTAAACTAAAAATTTTAATGTACCTTTTGTTGATCCGAAATAAAGATCCACCTTTGTCAATCTATGCCTCCAATATCATCAAGCAGCTGTGTCAAAAACCACATCCATGTGTCTTTGCATTCTATTTCTACCACAACAAAAGCTAGTGGGAAATACTGGTCATTAGGGTCTCTTCCTACTGCCACTATTTTGAAAGAGGGACTAAAACCAGAAACGGTCAATAGTTTAGGGACTAAAAACATATTTAACCCTTAATTTTATTTTTTAAGTAACTCTTTTTAAAATTTGATTTTTGTTGTATTTGATAGTTTTTTAAACTTAACTATTTTTTTAATTATAAAATTACGTATAAAATAAATAAAAATATTTATAATAAAGTTCTAAAAATTATTTATATTTGCCTTGAAATTATAAAAGTTATTTTTTATTATCATAATATATACCTATATGATTTCTCTTTTGAAATCCACATTTGTTTTTCTTTTTTATCTTTAAAATAAAGTTTTTTTTAAAATAAAATAATTTTTTTATTAATTTCACTATTTAAGTAACTGTTTTTTATATTAAATATTTTTTTCCATCTGACTTTGTTTTTTAAATTTAAAAAGTTTCTAATTATAAAATTACTACGAAATAAATAAAAATTATTTACAATCAAATTAAAAAAATATTTATATCTACAATAAAATTATAAAAGTTATTTTTTATATCATAAAAATAAGTAAACACACATACATACTAGTGCATATGTTTTCATCAGTAATGAATTATAAATATTATGTCATACTTTAGATATGATAATATTGAAAAAAAAAACTCTAAAATGGAGGTATGAATAAAATTTTTAAAACTTTTCCCAAGTAACTATTTAAGTCTTTTCGTAGGGATTAGACGGCTCCTTTTAAAACAAAAACAATAATACATTTTGTTTTTATACTAGTTCAATCACAACTTGAGTTACGTCCAATTATTTCTTAAGCACTCTTAAGAGATTTTACTAATATTAAAATATTACACACGAGTTTAACCACTATTGATATTACAACTAACCCAATTAGTTAGAACAAGTATCATCACTCCTGGTATACATTAATCTAACTGACTAAATTGTTTAATTTCACTAATATAAACTTACGTATTTAAATTCACTTTTGAATATGAAAACAACAAAGTATTTTTCAAGATACAAGATCATCATAAAGATAACTCTAACCGAAATAATATGAAATTATATAAAGAGATTATGAGAACTTGTAAAGAAAATTTTCTTTTCCAAAGAACAAGAGCTAGACAGTGTAAGCTTAGAGAAAATAGCGGTGAGAGAGAATGCAATGAATAATTCGTTTTTTGTTCCTCTTTATACGGTCCTCTTTATATAGATTTCTTCGAAAAAGATTCATTACTTAGGGTTTTGACTTTCACTTTCCTATGAAGTCAGAAGCTATGTTGCGACTTAGAGAGGCAACTATGTTATGTACAAAGGAAAAAGACAAAAGGTATGCAGGAAATATGCCTAGAATAATTTTATATCTCTAAACGTTCTTATGATTCTGATGCAGCCTTTTGAATAAAGGTATTGTACTGAGGTGATTTGCATAGAATAAAAGAGCACAACACAACATACAAAAAAAATACTACTATGTACATGCATTAAGGCGTTAGACGATCCCAAGTGTTTAAGCATAATACAAGATCAAGCGTTTAGGTACCTTCTATTTGACTAACATATAGTGTTTAAGATAAGTTTTATATATAGTGTTTAGCGCTTTACGATTTTATCCTAGACGATTTATGTTGTTAAATGTTATTTCATTCAGACATTTTGATAAACTTCAAAACAAGGTTTCCTTAGACCATTTTATCTTAACAAAAACTGATAGAGAATTATCTCCTGAAACATATATAAGAAGAACTTGAGGAAAAACATTTGCAACTCAAAGGATCTATGACAATGTCCAATATCAAAACACATGTCCTTGAACCTTATAATGTTTCATAAATAAGTGAATTTAAAGAACATGAAGATCATGAGCACAACTGAAGAATAATTTAGAAAATAAAATAAATTTAAATTTTATTTTAATTTTACATAATGTTAAATTTACTAAGTGAGAGGGCCTCACTAGGCAAAAGCCTACATGTAATTTTCATTGTTGCTTTTTTGTTATTTTTATGTGTTTTAAGCGTTGGACTTTAGTTTTGGGTTATTTGGGTTTTTCTTAAACTTATGTAACTATATATAGCAGTACCAAAAATATATGTAAACACTTTTGGAGTCATAATATGTGCATTTGCATTTTTTGGAGAGGATTATTTTAGTTCTTAGATTAGAACTCTGATTCTTATCAAGAATTAACATCTTTGTCGTAAATCTTCATTTAATGTCTTAAGTTTAATTGGGTTAATCACGTCATGCCCCAAATTTTGAATGACCATGGTATAATCAAGATGTTCAAAGATTTTTTTTTAAGGACATGCATATTACCATCATGTGTTTAACATTTGCAACATATTCTCACTTAATTTTGCAACATATTCTCACTTAGTTACAACAATCGACTGTACTTCATTAATAATACACATTCCTTAAGATCTTTCTCTTCATTCCATATCCATTTGCATGAAATTCTACCATTTATCTTCGTATGATCAACCACATCAACACATATTAATAACACCATGTTTTGATTTCTCTTATAAAACATATAACACTCTAATTGTAATATAAATAATTATTATTTAGTTCAAAATTTGGAGTAAATTTTCTTTGAATGGAAATTTTCTTACAAAAAACATTAATCATAATATAATTGAGATCATGACAATTTGACAAGAGTGATGGTTAAGAGACACTTTGAATATTCAATACATTACTTACACACTTAATTAAGGTCATTAGGTGTATTTGATATATATATATATATATATATATATATATTCTATTTGGACAATTTTTTTAATTATTTCTATTTTTATTTTAAATGTTTAATGTGACTTTGAACAATATTTTTATTTTAAAATATTTTTTGTGAAATTATTCTAATATAATAATTTGGACCAAGTTACTATAAACTAAAAATTGAGAATAAGGGCTTAGTGATTTAATTTTATGTTGCACATATGAAAATATGGCTATTTAGTGTTTTTTATTTGTAAATCTAAGTGAACAAAATTTATAATTTACATTTTAACGTCATGAGATAAATGTAATTTTAATTTGAGTTAGAAAGGTAATAGTAAATAAAATTTAAAGTTGAATTAAAATTCTAAAATGATTGCAATCACATAATTATGTGTCGAAATTAGTTTTTGCTATGCTGGAAGATTCTACAAGTAATAAATAATATAAAAAATATTTCATTGTTACAATAAAAAAGCTAAATCATATTTAAAAAGTATAATCTTGTATAAAGTACCAATAATAATATAATTTGTAATACATTTATAATCATAATTTAGTTAAATATGCAATTGTCTAACCATTTTCACAGGTGTAAATGTATGGATCACTAATGGATAACTATTTACATCATACTCTTGAATAATTAAAAAAATATGTATTTTAAAATAATAAATTCATTTATAATAAAACTATTTATACTAAAATATTTTCATATTAAAATAATTGAGTTTCATTAATTCTAAAATACTATCACTTCTAAGATATTAATTTTTAGGTCTATGTTATTAAATAATGGTTGATTTTAACATTTATTTGTAACTAAAAATATTTAAGTTTGATTGAAACATGTTTTATATAAATATAAAGGTTTGTGAATTTGTATTCGACTGAGCCAAATTATAAAGAAAAGTATTTAAATAAAGACTTGTGTATCTTTGACGCTGGAATTTGAGATGACCCTTCTTGCACGTAAATAAATCTGACAAATTTAAATTTGTGAGAGAATTTTAAATAGATATTTTTATGTTAAATTCAAAATTTAGGAAAAAAGAAATAGAAAAAAACTTAGAAAGATCACACATATTCTGAAGTAACCAAGCTTGCCATTTATTATATGACCATGTTGTGTAAGCACAAGCTTATGTATACATATATAAATATATACAGTGAGAATTTTGTGATGTGTGTCCCAATTTCTGTGTAATCTAGGATAGCATTTTCTGTGAAAAGGTATCCCTATCTCTATTCCTCTACCATTTTTTTCTTGCTCTACAATTCAGAACAAATTGATTTGAGTCAACATGGAAAAAGCAAGAAGGAAGGTTCCACCTGGACAATCTTCCTGCTCAAAAACTTGATTCTGTGTAACTTTTCATTACACCATATTACCTGTTCTTTTTTCAATTTTGACATGTTTAACACCCTTGAAATCAATCTCAACCCCACCTGAGCAACCAATTGCTCATGATCAAGTTCATCTTCATGGTGCTTTTGGAACTTCTTCACTATGCAATTCCCAGTTCTCACTATGTCCTTCAGCCTTCTCTCCTTCTGCAACATATAACCCAACATTGTAAGCAGATGAGAGCATTTTTTTATCACTGATTGAAAATATTTTTTCTAATCTTGGTGCATCAAATGAAGAAGATAGGTGTTGCTTCCAAGGTGTTTGTTTAATGTACAAGCATATTTGTATGGAGTAACTGAATTAAACTGAGTTTGGAACCCCCCCAAATGAACATCTAACATAAACTATACTTCAGAAAAAAATGTAGTTCTTATTAAGGACTAACATTGATCATGTTTTTTTAGCAACTAAAATAACTAGATCATATATTGTTAAGGACCAAAATGAAGGTTAGTCATAAAAGAACATACTTTCTGTAGTTGTGCTTTAATCTCCACCATAAGACCAGGAATCATAGGGTCGTTAAGATCAATTTTGTGGTGCTGAGAAGCTTTAAAGATAACATTCCCGTAATCTTTATCTGCTCGAACAAATTCCCAGAACACCCGCATTGATTCCTTGATGATCTCTGTCAACCTTCCACTTGCAATAGCAGCATCCTCTTCCTCATACCCTTTATCATCTTCTGCAAAACATTCACAACAGAAAGTAAGAATCTCACTCAAGCTGGCACCTTGTGAAGGAATGAAACAATGGTCCATTTTATTCACCTTTAATGCCTGGAACATGGAGCAAGTTGCGAATCACGCATCGGTTCTTGACGTAGTTCTGTAGCCTAGGGCCTTGAAATGGTTCATTCTCTATGAATCTTTGAACTAGTACTTGAAAAAGTTGAAACTCACCAGCAACGTGATTATACCTATGGCTATGAGACCCTTGTGAATCATATTGCTGTAACTCAAGAGCTTTCTTGTGTTGCCAACACAGGATTTCCCAAGAGAGGCAAACCTGGCCAACATATACCAATTCCAAATCTCTATGCAGTTCATGCACCAACTTTATCAACGGGTCAGATGAGTTCTTTGATGCTTTGCGTGGCCACAAGTTCTGAGAGATTACAGGCTTTGAACCTTGGATTGAAGACTTTGGTATTGAAATTAATTTGAGAGGGTCTTTTAGTTGGAGCAGACCTGCAATTGACGACAAAAAAATTACTTAATCATAATACAAACATGATCATTGCTAAATAAACAAGTTTTTCTTTGCTTAGAGTGTAATATTAGAAACCATTAAGCAAACAAAAGTTTCAAACATAGTCAAAACTTTAAAAGTAATATTGAAGGTACCCTTAACTTTATTGAATGCTTTGTACAGTAGAAGATGGAGAATCAATTTCATTCGCTTATATTTTAATGTATAAAGTGGAACTCTAGGGAAAGTAGGGAATAGATTGGTAGAGAATAGAATTGAANTCTTCTTAATTTTTTTGGCCTCCCAGGAGGTCTTTTGTAAATGGGAGGTAGTAGTTGTGGAGAGTCAGATGTAGGCCAAAGTTGTTGTCCATTGATAGGACTTATAATTGGTGCATAACAAGTTCTATAGGCATCTTTCTTATAGTAAGGATGAACATAATGTTCTGGGTTTTCTGATTTGTAATGAATGGCAGCAACCGCATGTCTACATGGTATTCCTACCAAATCCCACAAGTAACAAGTACATGTGTGATTACTTAAATCAACAACAAATTTGTCCATGGTAAAGCCATGAGTTACTTCAAACTGTGAACCCCCTGCCCATACAGGAAGCCAATTCCCACTCTTTTCAACCTCCATATCCAATCTTTTCCTCGGTTTAGGCATAACATCACCAGGATATGAGTCAACTTTTTCTCTAAGGCTTGCAAACCTACTCATTATGTATGATCTAATCCATTCCATCATTGAAATTATAGGTTTGGCTCTTGCCAATAAAATAGTACTATTAAATGATTCTGACAAGTTATTGATCAACACATCACACCTAGGATAAGCACTAAAAGCATGCTTACACCAACTTTTAGTTGGTATACCCATTAACCAATTAAAGGCATCAACATTCAGATTTTTTAACTCACTCATTTTTTACTCCCATTCCTTATAGTATGTTGCCTTCGCAGCCCCCATCATGAGGTCTCTAATGAGCAGGCCTCCCCCAAATTTTTTCTTGTAATTGTTGTATAAATGGCGTAAACACAACCTGTGTTCTACTCCATTCAAAATATCATCAAAAACTGACATTAATCCCTGCAAGCATAATACACCAATAAGTATTACATATTCAAAATAAATTTCTAACTAAACTAAAAATTTTAATGTACCTTTTGTTGATCCGAAATAAAGATCCACCTTTGTCAATCTATGCCTCCAATATCATCAAGCAGCTGTGTCAAAAACCACATCCATGTGTCTTTGCATTCTATTTCTACCACAACAAAAGCTAGTGGGAAATACTGGTCATTAGGGTCTCTTCCTACTGCCACTATTTTGAAAGAGGGACTAAAACCAGAAACGGTCAATAGTTTAGGGACTAAAAACATATTTAACCCTTAATTTTATTTTTTAAGTAACTCTTTTTAAAATTTGATTTTTGTTGTATTTGATAGTTTTTTAAACTTAACTATTTTTTTAATTATAAAATTACGTATAAAATAAATAAAAATATTTATAATAAAGTTCTAAAAATTATTTATATTTGCCTTGAAATTATAAAAGTTATTTTTTATTATCATAATATATACCTATATGATTTCTCTTTTGAAATCCACATTTGTTTTTCTTTTTTATCTTTAAAATAAAGTTTTTTTTAAAATAAAATAATTTTTTTATTAATTTCACTATTTAAGTAACTGTTTTTTATATTAAATATTTTTTTCCATCTGACTTTGTTTTTTAAATTTAAAAAGTTTCTAATTATAAAATTACTACGAAATAAATAAAAATTATTTACAATCAAATTAAAAAAATATTTATATCTACAATAAAATTATAAAAGTTATTTTTTATATCATAAAAATAAGTAAACACACATACATACTAGTGCATATGTTTTCATCAGTAATGAATTATAAATATTATGTCATACTTTAGATATGATAATATTGAAAAAAAAAACTCTAAAATGGAGGTATGAATAAAATTTTTAAAACTTTTCCCAAGTAACTATTTAAGTCTTTTCGTAGGGATTAGACGGCTCCTTTTAAAACAAAAACAATAATACATTTTGTTTTTATACTAGTTCAATCACAACTTGAGTTACGTCCAATTATTTCTTAAGCACTCTTAAGAGATTTTACTAATATTAAAATATTACACACGAGTTTAACCACTATTGATATTACAACTAACCCAATTAGTTAGAACAAGTATCATCACTCCTGGTATACATTAATCTAACTGACTAAATTGTTTAATTTCACTAATATAAACTTACGTATTTAAATTCACTTTTGAATATGAAAACAACAAAGTATTTTTCAAGATACAAGATCATCATAAAGATAACTCTAACCGAAATAATATGAAATTATATAAAGAGATTATGAGAACTTGTAAAGAAAATTTTCTTTTCCAAAGAACAAGAGCTAGACAGTGTAAGCTTAGAGAAAATAGCGGTGAGAGAGAATGCAATGAATAATTCGTTTTTTGTTCCTCTTTATACGGTCCTCTTTATATAGATTTCTTCGAAAAAGATTCATTACTTAGGGTTTTGACTTTCACTTTCCTATGAAGTCAGAAGCTATGTTGCGACTTAGAGAGGCAACTATGTTATGTACAAAGGAAAAAGACAAAAGGTATGCAGGAAATATGCCTAGAATAATTTTATATCTCTAAACGTTCTTATGATTCTGATGCAGCCTTTTGAATAAAGGTATTGTACTGAGGTGATTTGCATAGAATAAAAGAGCACAACACAACATACAAAAAAAATACTACTATGTACATGCATTAAGGCGTTAGACGATCCCAAGTGTTTAAGCATAATACAAGATCAAGCGTTTAGGTACCTTCTATTTGACTAACATATAGTGTTTAAGATAAGTTTTATATATAGTGTTTAGCGCTTTACGATTTTATCCTAGACGATTTATGTTGTTAAATGTTATTTCATTCAGACATTTTGATAAACTTCAAAACAAGGTTTCCTTAGACCATTTTATCTTAACAAAAACTGATAGAGAATTATCTCCTGAAACATATATAAGAAGAACTTGAGGAAAAACATTTGCAACTCAAAGGATCTATGACAATGTCCAATATCAAAACACATGTCCTTGAACCTTATAATGTTTCATAAATAAGTGAATTTAAAGAACATGAAGATCATGAGCACAACTGAAGAATAATTTAGAAAATAAAATAAATTTAAATTTTATTTTAATTTTACATAATGTTAAATTTACTAAGTGAGAGGGCCTCACTAGGCAAAAGCCTACATGTAATTTTCATTGTTGCTTTTTTGTTATTTTTATGTGTTTTAAGCGTTGGACTTTAGTTTTGGGTTATTTGGGTTTTTCTTAAACTTATGTAACTATATATAGCAGTACCAAAAATATATGTAAACACTTTTGGAGTCATAATATGTGCATTTGCATTTTTTGGAGAGGATTATTTTAGTTCTTAGATTAGAACTCTGATTCTTATCAAGAATTAACATCTTTGTCGTAAATCTTCATTTAATGTCTTAAGTTTAATTGGGTTAATCACGTCATGCCCCAAATTTTGAATGACCATGGTATAATCAAGATGTTCAAAGATTTTTTTTTAAGGACATGCATATTACCATCATGTGTTTAACATTTGCAACATATTCTCACTTAATTTTGCAACATATTCTCACTTAGTTACAACAATCGACTGTACTTCATTAATAATACACATTCCTTAAGATCTTTCTCTTCATTCCATATCCATTTGCATGAAATTCTACCATTTATCTTCGTATCATCAACCACATCAACACATATTAATAACACCATGTTTTGATTTCTCTTATAAAACATATAACACTCTAATTGTAATATAAATAATTATTATTTAGTTCAAAATTTGGAGTAAATTTTCTTTGAATGGAAATTTTCTTACAAAAAACATTAATCATAATATAATTGAGATCATGACAATTTGACAAGAGTGATGGTTAAGAGACACTTTGAATATTCAATACATTACTTACACACTTAATTAAGGTCATTAGGTGTATTTGATATATATATATATATATATATATATATATTCTATTTGGACAATTTTTTTAATTATTTCTATTTTTATTTTAAATGTTTAATGTGACTTTGAACAATATTTTTATTTTAAAATATTTTTTGTGAAATTATTCTAATATAATAATTTGGACCAAGTTACTATAAACTAAAAATTGAGAATAAGGGCTTAGTGATTTAATTTTATGTTGCACATATGAAAATATGGCTATTTAGTGTTTTTTATTTGTAAATCTAAGTGAACAAAATTTATAATTTACATTTTAACGTCATGAGATAAATGTAATTTTAATTTGAGTTAGAAAGGTAATAGTAAATAAAATTTAAAGTTGAATTAAAATTCTAAAATGATTGCAATCACATAATTATGTGTCGAAATTAGTTTTTGCTATGCTGGAAGATTCTACAAGTAATAAATAATATAAAAAATATTTCATTGTTACAATAAAAAAGCTAAATCATATTTAAAAAGTATAATCTTGTATAAAGTACCAATAATAATATAATTTGTAATACATTTATAATCATAATTTAGTTAAATATGCAATTGTCTAACCATTTTCACAGGTGTAAATGTATGGATCACTAATGGATAACTATTTACATCATACTCATGAATAATTAAAAAAATATGTATTTTAAAATAATAAATTCATTTATAATAAAACTATTTATACTAAAATATTTTCATATTAAAATAATTGAGTTTCATTAATTCTAAAATACTATCACTTCTAAGATATTAATTTTTAGGTCTATGTTATTAAATAATGGTTGATTTTAACATTTATTTGTAACTAAAAACATTTAAGTTTGATTGAAACATGTTTTATATAAATATAAAGGTTTGTGAATTTGTATTCGACTGAGCCAAATTATAAAGAAAAGTATTTAAATAAAGACTTGTGTATCTTTGACGCTGGAATTTGAGATGACCCTTCTTGCACGTAAATAAATCTGACAAATTTAAATTTGTGAGAGAATTTTAAATAGATATTTTTATGTTAAATTCAAAATTTAGGAAAAAAGAAATAGAAAAAAACTTAGAAAGATCACACATATTCTGAAGTAACCAAGCTTGCCATTTATTATATGACCATGTTGTGTAAGCACAAGCTTATGTATACATATATAAATATATACAGTGAGAATTTTGTGATGTGTGTCCCAATTTCTGTGTAATCTAGGATAGCATTTTCTGTGAAAAGGTATCCCTATCTCTATTCCTCTACCATTTTTTTCTTGCTCTACAATTCAGAACAAATTGATTTGAGTCAACATGGAAAAAGCAAGAAGGAAGGTTCCACCTGGACAATCTTCCTGCTCAAAAACTTGATTCTGTGTAACTTTTCATTACACCATATTACCTGTTCTTTTTTCAATTTTGACATGTTTAACACCCTTGAAATCAATCTCAACCCCACCTGAGCAACCAATTGCTCATGATCAAGTTCATCTTCATGGTGCTTTTGGAACTTCTTCACTATGCAATTCCCAGTTCTCACTATGTCCTTCAGCCTTCTCTCCTTCTGCAACATATAACCCAACATTGTAAGCAGATGAGAGCATTTTTTTATCACTGATTGAAAATATTTTTTCTAATCTTGGTGCATCAAATGAAGAAGATAGGTGTTGCTTCCAAGGTGTTTGTTTAATGTACAAGCATATTTGTATGGAGTAACTGAATTAAACTGAGTTTGGAACCCCCCCAAATGAACATCTAACATAAACTATACTTCAGAAAAAAATGTAGTTCTTATTAAGGACTAACATTGATCATGTTTTTTTAGCAACTAAAATAACTAGATCATATATTGTTAAGGACCAAAATGAAGGTTAGTCATAAAAGAACATACTTTCTGTAGTTGTGCTTTAATCTCCACCATAAGACCAGGAATCATAGGGTCGTTAAGATCAATTTTGTGGTGCTGAGAAGCTTTAAAGATAACATTCCCGTAATCTTTATCTGCTCGAACAAATTCCCAGAACACCCGCATTGATTCCTTGATGATCTCTGTCAACCTTCCACTTGCAATAGCAGCATCCTCTTCCTCATACCCTTTATCATCTTCTGCAAAACATTCACAACAGAAAGTAAGAATCTCACTCAAGCTGGCACCTTGTGAAGGAATGAAACAATGGTCCATTTTATTCACCTTTAATGCCTGGAACATGGAGCAAGTTGCGAATCACGCATCGGTTCTTGACGTAGTTCTGTAGCCTAGGGCCTTGAAATGGTTCATTCTCTATGAATCTTTGAACTAGTACTTGAAAAAGTTGAAACTCACCAGCAACGTGATTATACCTATGGCTATGAGACCCTTGTGAATCATATTGCTGTAACTCAAGAGCTTTCTTGTGTTGCCAACACAGGATTTCCCAAGAGAGGCAAACCTGGCCAACATATACCAATTCCAAATCTCTATGCAGTTCATGCACCAACTTTATCAACGGGTCAGATGAGTTCTTTGATGCTTTGCGTGGCCACAAGTTCTGAGAGATTACAGGCTTTGAACCTTGGATTGAAGACTTTGGTATTGAAATTAATTTGAGAGGGTCTTTTAGTTGGAGCAGACCTGCAATTGACGACAAAAAAATTACTTAATCATAATACAAACATGATCATTGCTAAATAAACAAGTTTTTCTTTGCTTAGAGTGTAATATTAGAAACCATTAAGCAAACAAAAGTTTCAAACATAGTCAAAACTTTAAAAGTAATATTGAAGGTACCCTTAACTTTATTGAATGCTTTGTACAGTAGAAGATGGAGAATCAATTTCATTCGCTTATATTTTAATGTATAAAGTGGAACTCTAGGGAAAGTAGGGAATAGATTGGTAGAGAATAGAATTGAAATTTACGATGCAGACTTCTCACTATCACTGGTTTTATTATTCAAAAATAAACAAGACACGAATAGCTTTATGCCCACATAATTAGCAAATATGATGGGAGTAAGATATGCAATGGCCCACCCTGCCATGATTGTATCCAGGAGCATTTTTAAAAAATTTCTTCCCGTTGATTGAATGTCACCAAAATTCATGAAAAAAAAAAATTGTAAAATCATAAAAGATTATAAAAAATGGCCAATAACAAACTCCAATCTGCAGTCATGGAAATGTGAGAAATAGAACTTCTAATTGGGCATGAGGGATCATCGGTTGGTGAAGATTGAAGATTGAAGATTGAAGATTGAAGACTCAAGACTTCATGTTCTTTATTTTTAAGAAACTTGATTAAAAATTTACCAAAAACATTGAAATTGTTTAAATCTGAAAAGTTCATCTGCAAGATTTTAACATGGAAGAAGTTAATTTAGTTCTCACCTAATGCATGCATGGTCTGGTAATTCAAGATATCAAGTTTCTTCATCTTCTCTTCATAGCTCTTGTAAACCTGTAGAATTTCATCAATTTGATCCTTGTATTCAATTTTCTCTTCAATTTCCACTGGGTTTGGACCTTCAACAACTCTTGAGGATACTCTTTCCTCCTCCTCCACCACCACCACCACCTCTTCCTCTTCATCTACCTCCTCTTCTTCTTCTAAAATTGTGGCAAGTCCTCCTTGCCTTGAATTTTTCAATTCCAATCTCAGTTGTTCCACCAGATCATCATGCTCCCATTCAAAGTCACCCTCGTCAGATTCTGAGTTACTCAATTCATCCTCCCATCTAGTTTCTTCTCTTTTCTCCAACTCATTCCTGAATTCCTCTTCTTTTTTGTCTCTGACCACTACTTTGGCAGAGTCTTTACAACCAAAACCATGTGCACTGAAGGGCTTAAAACCCTTCATGCAGGGTTCCATTTCCACATACCCATCTTCAGAATAAATGCCACGAGCACTCAACTCTGAAATCTTTCCATCACATGAAGATTGCTTTGCCTCTGCATCGCCTTCTCTTTCCTCTCTCATTATCAGCTTCAGAATCTCAGGTTCAAACCCTTCACCACCATTTTTACCTCCCAGAAACTGGTACACAATTGAATCATCAATTTTGTTGCTGTTGCCCCAGATTACACCACTTGAGCTTGATGACTCTGACTCTGAATCAGAAGTGACCGAGTTTTCGTTGTAAAGAAAATAATCTTCATCGGATGAATCGGATCCACCAAACATCTCACTCTCAAAGTGAAGCGGAATATGGGTGGAAGAAGGTGAAACCTGATCTTGAACAGAGTTCTCTGTCTGTGCTTGAGATACAGGGTCTTTCTCTGAACAAAACTCCGAAAATTCCTTGTCGGCAATAATTTTGGTGCTGGCATATGCATTATCAGAAACGGTTGAAACATCTGGACCCATGTAAAATTCTCGAAAACTGAACCTCAACGTTGTTGGTTCCTCCATGAACCCACTTATATCTTTTCCTGATAAGTACTCGCATTTACTTGTGGTTGTTACAGAGTTTGTGTTCAAAGACACACACCCATATGTTTTTTCTTCTTTTTCTTCTCTTTCTGTATCATCACCATGAGCATTGGACTCTTGTTCATTGAAAACAGAGCTCTCATTTTCTTCTATTTTCTCCCCATCGCCATTTACAGTTTCTTCGGAGACATTCTCCGTTAAATCATCGCTGCTTGTTTCATTCCCATCGATTTTCATCACTTCTTCGTGAACAACAGGGTCAATCTCCCCAGACGCAGGTTCTTCTATTTCCTCTTCTCTCTCCACACTTCCTTGATCGAGATCAGAGTTACACTCTGTGGAAATAGAGATCTCCTCTGTTTCTCTTTCTGCTTCCGTGCCATCTTCATGAGTAACACTCATACCAGCTTCACCAATGTCAAATTCAATTTGTTTTGAAACAAAGCTATCCGTGGGCACCTCTGTTTTCATCCCATCTTCATGAACATCACAGTGGGTGTCCATCAGAACCGAGAACTTATTTTCTACATCTCTTTTCTCACTTTCAGGAGCAATCTCCGTGGAAAAAACAGAGTTCTCAGTTTTTCCACTTCTTCTCCCACTTTCAGGAGCAACCTCCATGAAAAGGGTAGAGCACTCAGTTTCCTGAAAATCATCACTCCAAAACAGAAAACTTGCCAGCTCCTCTCGGAACCCATCAATCTCAGAATCAGAAAGCTGGTTCCTCTCAACATGTGGTACTTTCTGATCAATAGCCTCATCTTTTGCATCTCCCAGATGAAGAAACCTGAAGTTTAAAAAACATACCCATACTCATTAACTCATCACAGAAACACTTAAAAAATAACAACAAAAGTTATCCAAACCTGAAGATGTATCTGAGCACCAATCCCAAAACATAGAGCACATATTTGCAAAGGAACACCCGCAGAGAACCAAAGGCCCACAACATGTTCACACAAACAAAATCATTCACAGCTCGTAGGTTGATGGAATCAATGTGGGTCTTAGCCATAAAGAGGCTCCTTGTTCCCATCCAATCCAAATCAACCTTGGGAATTGAAAGGTCCTGTTTTCATGGCAAGGAAAATTCCAAACCAAATTACAAGGTAAACAATACTTTGGTCATGGAAATTTCCATTTCAAACATTCCTTGTTGAAGAGTGGACTCTTCCCACTTGAGGACAGCGAAATCAGTGGCAGAACGAGATCTGGGCAGTGATGATTTGTTTTTGGACCAAAAGAGCGGGATTGTGGGAGAAAATTGTGCTCTTCTGTACACTGGATACTATTTTGTTCTAGTCTGATAAGACTTGTTATTCGAGAAAGATAAGATTATTAGGAATAATGTCTGAGTTAGATATAACAATTATCAACTAGACAAAGTTTTAACATAGGAGCTTTTAGTAGACAACTAAAGAGAAATTTGATTGCACTTGTTTCGGTTTGGTAGCAGTTAAAGTAGTTTCTATAACAGTTATGTGGGTTTTCGTGGTGGTACGTGCTATTTTGCTGGACACGTGTGAGAGTTGAAGTGGACACTGGGCTTGTCTTTAAGGCAATTTTTTTTCTTTTCTGTATTTGTTCACTAACTTGGAGTTAGTGGGTGGTGATTGGATTCTGTGCGTCGATTTCTTGCATGGTTAGCAACAATGAAAGTTTTTCTTGTTTGAGTTGGCAGGCATAAGAGGACTCAGGATTTTTTTTAGATGTTAAGTTACCATAAATCGATGTACAAATTTTGATCCCACTGCCACTGATTTGTGGTCATGAAACCAACCCCACCTGCTAGAAGAAAAACATAGAATGATGAATCAGTGTAAGAAGAAAGATCTTGCGTCGGTATGTCCATTCTTAATGATTTTTTATTCATATAAAATGAAACGTGAAACGTTTAAATTTGGTCATTGATTAAACATGAATTGATTAATGAATCCGTACTGTGCATGCAAATAATATATTTGTGCTTATGCGTGTAGTTGTTAAGAGCAAAACAGGAACAACTTCAAATTGTACCATGCGATCATGGATTCAGTGACTAACCAGACTTCTAAGAGTGTGAAGTGAAGATTTGGAATCTAGCAACGTGTTTACAGATAGGAAAAGGTTGGATAAACTTCATTATCAATGTTGAAGCCACGATGTTTTGTTCTTTTATTAAATTAATTTATATTAGTTAAGAAATGAATTTTAAATTTAATTCAATTTTACGAAATTGATTTATAAAATAAAATTTGTATTTATTTATATATTTTAAATTGGTTTTATTTTTAAATGACGTAGGATTTCTAATAATATTAAACGAGTAAACATGAGATTGGAAGAATTTTATACGGTAAAATTTGTCCAAGTGCATTTTTTTAAGTTTCTTAGCATTAACCAATAGGGAAAGGCAAATAATTTTGGACGTGGTTATGCATAGTTAAGAAGTGGTTGTATGTGGCGTGACGAAGGAAGATGAAACACAATAGGTTTCTGAAAAGCCCATTCCACCAGCAAACAATATACACTTCAACTACACCATATCCGTTGCTGTAAATGTTTAATCGTGAAGGAAAACTTTAAATGAAGGATTCTTCTTTGGTGTGAATGTAATGACGGAAACAAAGCCACTTGGAAAAAAAATTAGGGTTCCTCTCGTCAATTTGTGCCATAATTCATGCCTAGTGCATGGTGAATTCCGTCATCTTATTCTCCTCTTTGGACGGTGTGTTTTTTGGCAGGTGGTGCGTGTCACTTTCAATGCATTAGACTCTTAAGTGCTTTAACAATCATTTAATTTGTGAAAAACATGACTTAGTGGTATCAAAGTTTCCGTGAAAAATATCAAAATACAAGGGGAGATGAACAAATGTATACATTGTTGTAAAGTTTGTAAGTTTCACATGTTTATTAAATTCCTTAAGTTAATTTATTTTTCTTAAAAAATTGTTGAATAATTAAGAATTAAGAAATGTAATTAAGAAGTTGGTGTAGGAAAGTGGGTGAGTAATGTTGCCGACTACACGCAGTAATCAGCATATGAAGGTGTTTTGGTGACGGTTCGTGGGTCACATGAGACATGGAGTCAATGGAAGAACTTTAGTTGCGGTTCCGTAATACGACAGGGTTTAGTGACGATTCTTTAAAAAGGAAAAATAGTTGCAATTGGAAGACTTTTTCTTTTACTTTTTCTTTAAATTGGAAAGAAAAAGTTTTTGGAACTCGTTAGGAATGGGTTGACAAGTAAAGCACGCACCATGAGGTCTTATTCATAACAGGCGTAAAGAAGAAAAACAACTTCACTTCCTACAATTATAACATACTTTACCTTTTATCTAATTCTTACTTTTTGCTTCTATTTTCGCAAAATATTACAGCTTTTAGTTTTATGCAAAACATTATACAAAGAGAGAAAAAAAAACATTAAAGAATAAAAGATTAAAGTGACAATTTTGATAAAGTTTAAAGTAAAGTTGGTTATGCTTATGATCTTACTAAGTGAATCAGGGTCGAATAAAAACAGAGATGACTGTTGTTACAAAAGTTTGATGAGTATATTTGATTAGTTTTTTCAAATAAAAAATATTGAAAGAGAAATTGAAATTACATTTTTTATAAGTTATACGATTGTTTACAGATTTTTCTTACTTTCTGTCTCAAAAGTTCTTATAAATAAATTAATCCAAACCAATAATATTATATATATATATATATATATATGTTTGTGTGTGTGTAAATTTGAGTATTTTAGGTCTGTTGGTAAAAAGTTTTATTCAATTTAGTTTTTGAAATCATTTTATTCTTAATTCAGTCTCTATTGTTAGTTAAGATTAGGTGACTTTGAGTCTACGATATAGAGAAAAATACTAATCTATAACCTTAATTATCTCTAACAAAAATTATTATTATTTGCTTTATATAGTTGATTTTTTATATTTAATTTAAAATAAAATGATAACTTTTATTTATACTATTATATATATAATAGTATAAATTAACGTCCGTTTTGGTGAATTTAACGGAAGGGACTTGATTGAAGCAAATTTTACATACGTTTGGACGAAATTGACATTTTTAAACCAATTTTGTACGTAATTTAATTTTTTTTAAAATGATGGACTACTTTGACACGTTGCAGCCAAACTAGGGACAATGCAAGCAATTAAACCTTTATTTTTCAGTCCAACGCAATTCAAATGTGTCATCTAATCCATGCACAAAACGAAAAAAGAGAGACCAAACTCCTTAATCTATCACAACTTTATCATCTTACTTCCATCTTCAAGCTTCATCTTCCACTCATATCACCACTCTTTGTTTCCATTCTACCTCAATGTTTTGCCTTCATTTTGGTTCTATGCACAGAAAAAACGAACCCATCACACCTATGTTTTCTTCAACACTTACCCAACACTATATTCAACCCACCATTCTCCATTGTTTTCTCTTAAATCGCAACAGAAAGAAAACTAAAATGGAAAATTAGTTTAAAAAAAGATTTTAGAATCACCACTATATAGTTTATTATAAAAAAAAACTATAAAAAATCATAAAATAAAACATGATTTACAAAAACCAAATTTTGGTTATAAGAGTCAATAATGTATAGGGAAGTGTTATCACTCTACAACGCATTACTAAAGATAGTATCTTTAATCAAATGTGCGAAATTAATGTGGTAATCAAAATGTTCAATTTTCCTCAAAAAATAATAAGACAATAATACTTAACCAAAATATTTTTTGGTTTTTGGATTCTCCTACAAGGATTAATCGTGTTCCTATGTATTTTCATTCACAATAGATTATCAAGGTTATATGTGAAAAACTACTCAAAACTTTGAAAATGATTCAACTTTTTTTAAAACGAATATGACAAGGACTAACTTTGATCCTAGGTATCTACTTTCATAATGAATAATTAGGAATCACATAATTTTTAAAAGAAAATTTGAAAAATTATTTGACTTTTGGAAGTGAACCTGACAACGATTCACACTATTTTTTATGTATCTCCATTCAAAATAAAGATTGAAGAATTACATAGTTCTTAAACTAGTTGTTTGAAAGTTTTGATATCTTCAATTTTTGAAAATCGATTTTATATTTTTGATGTTTTTTGAATTACATACAAATAGGTATCACACACATGAATGATAGATAATAAAAAATGACACAAAAAAGTGAAAGAGAAAATTATTTTTGGTAATTTTTTAATTATTTGAAAATTAGTGTTACACACATAACAAGGTTAAAAAAGGAAACTATTTTTAATTTGTTATATTTTTTCATATTTTTATTAATTAATTTTTTAAAACATTGAGTTCATGAAAAAGTAAGGGTGTGACGTTAGTAAGACAGCGGTGCAACAAGTAATTAGTAGGGTGAAATAGTAGTAAATATGTGTTGTGTGCAATGTAGAATAGGGTTGCAATAAGAGGGTTACTCCCTACACCATCCCACTTTGCTTCCTGTACCACCACATTTTTTTAAAATTTCAAAACTATCCTTTATATTTTAAAATATCTTACATCCTCACCTCTTTTCTTCAACGGATGTCAACATCCGTTGAAAAAAAAATTCTTCCACGAACGTGCCACATCCGTTAATGGATGTAGCGACATCCGTTAACGGATGTGGCGACATCCGTTGCCTTTTTTTTGTTTTTTAGTTTTTAGTTTTTTTATTTTTTTTTGTTTTAAATTAATATATAAATATTATTTAATTATTTTAAAATTATTACTTAATTATTTATAAATTAATTTAATTTTATTTAATAAAATAATTATTATTAATTTTAATTTATGTATTATTATTTAAATAATAATTAAAAAATTTATTATACATATATTAAAACGGATGTGCCACATCCGTTAAAGGATGTGCCACATCCGTTAACGGATGTGGTGGTTGCTTTTTTGTTTTTTAGTTTAGTTTTTTTATTTTTTTGTTTAAAATTAGTATATAAATATAATTTAATTATTTTAAAATTGTTACTTAATTATTTATAAATTAATTTTATTTTATTTAATAAAATAATTATTATTAATTTTAATTTATGTATTATTATTTAAGTAATAATTAATTTTTTTTTTATAAGTATATTAAAAACGCCACATCAGTTACCTTTTTTTTGTATTTTGTTTTTAGTTTTTTAATTTTTTATATTTTAAATTAATATATAAATATTATTTAATTTTTTAAAAATTATTATTTAATTATTTTTAAATTAATTTTATTTTATTTAATAAAATAATAATTATTATTTAAATAATAAATAAAAAAAACTTTTTAAAAATCCATTAAACGAATGTGACACATCGATGTGGCCACATCCGTTGNATATATATATATATATATATATATAAGTTTATTTATTTTTTAAAAAGTTTAATTGATTAAAAATATTT